TGTGTGTGTGTGTGTGTGTGTGTGTGTGTGTGTGTGTGTGTGTGTGTTAGTGTCTTTTTTAATTTTATTTCTGCTTCAAACATCTTTATAACTTTGTCGTCAAACTAGGAAACCAACGTCTTAGGATTCAAGGGACCTCGTAAAATGAGCGTGATTATTCCTGGGATGAACATGGATCACGAGCGGGTGTCGATTCGACCGCGGAATGTAGGTGGTGCTTCTTTCCACATGGCAGCATCTCTCTACACTAACGAGTTCTGCTCGCTCTTATACTCTTACAGCCACGTCTGAAGCCAGTTGATTGTTCTTCATTACAGGAGCATGAGTCACTGCTGGCCAGGTGGCAGAACAAGAACACAGAGAGTGTGATTGAACTTCATAACAAGACACCTGTGTGGAATGATGACACACAATCCTACGTGCTAAACTTCCACGGCAGAGTCACTCAGGCTTCGGTTAAGAATTTTCAAATCATTCATGACAACGACCGTAAGTTTCATGTGGCTTTTTTTTATATATGTATACTGAGCAAAAAACAAAGTGTAGCTTGAAAGACTTGATATTTTTAATTTATAATGCAAGAAAGATCAAATGCACATTTTGATTCAGGATGAAAGCAAAACCATGCAAGCTTTCTCCTGATGCATCTCAGTAATCCAGGTAAAAAATCAAAAAGAAAAAAATTGTATAGGTCTTCTGGACAGGTTCTTCTCTAATGAAACGTTTCGTCTCTCCTCCAAGAGACTTCTTCAGTCTGAGAGTTTCAGGCAAAATTCAGGCTTTTAAGCCCTACCTCCATGTGACTGATACTCACATCACATGGCTATAGTTGACACCTAATTAGCACCTATTGTTAACAGGGGGTGGAGTGATAGAGATAGAGAGGAACGTTGGTTTGAGAGAGGAGTAAAAGAAGCCATTTTTGTGAAGAAAGACCGTCCATCATTAAACAGAGGTGGAGGCCTCCGTTTTCAGTTGTCCCCCTCCTACAGCACGGCTATTGCCAGTATCACTCCACCCCCTGTTAACAATAGGTGCTAATTAGGTGTCAACGATAGCCATGTAATGCGAGTATCAGTCACATGGAGGCAGGACTTAAAAGCCTGAATTTTGCCTGAAACTCTCAGACTGAAGAAGTCTCTTAGAGGAGGGACGAAACGTTTCATTAGAGAAGAACCCGTCCAGAAGACCTATACAATTTTTTTCTTTTTGTGAGTTCGAACATTTGATGGATTTGTGTTCCACTGTAAATAAAATAATAGTTTATATTATATTTACATATATTCTGGATTTATTTAACACAATGTCTCAACTTTATTTTCTGTTTATTTTCAAACCATATTTTTAAAAATTATTTTAGTTGTTTTGAAAAAGTTATTGAGTTTCATAAAATGTGTTTAAAATAAGCTCCTTTTGAGTCCTAGCCCTTCTGATGTCCTTAAAGTGGGAGGAGCCTGTTACCTGTCAATCACTGCCAGCATCATTTCAGGTCTCATGAGCTCTGTGTGGTTCTGCTGGGTTCGGTTTCCTTCTGAACCTGCAGGAGGAAGAACAGAGCCTTTGATGTGGATCAGTCCTCGGAGCTGGACCAATCCAATTAGCCCCTCCTCCCCCCCACTCGTCGCTCTCATCCCTTCAGTCCTGCTCAGACCTGGACTTCTCGGCTCCAGCCCGCTTCCATGAGGTTCCTTTTCGGGCTCCAGGATGTGGATCTGCAGCAGCCGCCGCTCTCTCGGCTCGGATGAGGACTCAGCGGCGGGAGGAGCGGGTCGGAACCGGGACAAGTGAGAGCCTGGACCAGGAGAGGGGCAGAAAGTTCGGCTTTGCCCAGGTATCATCAGGTTCTGCACAGGTGGGCTTCTGTTCTGATGGATCTTTGATTGTAGAAGGTGTTCAGTGACAGCTGGTTCTGGTTCTGGTTCTGGGACAGTTGTGCAGGTAAAGTGATTTGACTTTAACGAAGACAAAAATCAGCAGAACTTTTCAAACTAAATGAAAGCTTTATTGAAAGTTCTGCCAGAAGCAGAAGTACAGGATGATATTTAAAGATGTATAAAAGGACAGATTGAGTTGGATTAGGTTGTCATGGTGACGCTGCAGCTTGGTTCCTGACGTGTCCTCATGTCCTGTGAGTCCCAGGAGGGGATAGACTCTATAATTACCTGAGGAGGACCTGGAGTCCAAAGCTCCTGAGGGATTTACAGGAACACATGATTACACAATCAGATCACTGCTCCTGCTGCTCCTCCTGAGTTTACAGCAGGAGCAGCCTGTTCCTCTGCTCCTGCTGCATCACTGCTCCTCCTGTTCCTCCAGCTCCTCCTACACTTCCTGTTCCCACTCTTCCCTTCTCCTGCTCCATCTTCTGGTCCTCCTGCACCCCATTTCCCTCTGCTCCTCTGTTCCACCTGCAACTCCTGCTCCTCCACCTCCTGCTCCTCCTGCAGGATGCGATTCACTAAGACTGACAGATGTCAGACGTTTTGCTGTGTCAGCAGATCATCAGTCCTGAACTGAAGCAGGTTTTATTAAAGTTGATAAATCAGCAGATTTCAACACAAGATAACACAGAAATCTGTTTGAGTCATAAAAACATCATTCATCTCCACCACACCATGTGACTGCTCATGTCTGTTAGCAAAATATCACACCGTCCCGTGGAGGACTTGTACAGTATATGAAGTTAAAGGCTACTTTCATATAAGCTATCATCATAAAGCAATAAAAACAATAAATCAGCAACAGCACTAAACTCACAAGCAAACAAACCTAAAATAAAGAAAAGTAGGCAGTAGGCTCAGTGACTCTAACAGAACCAGTTAGCTGAACGCCTGTTTAAAAAAGTTCTGGACACGTTGAGGACGACTCGCACGCTTTTGGTTCAGACACACAAACTATATAATCCAGACAGCTCGAAACAAAACCAGGAAGAACCATTTCCAGATCAGAGGCAGACAGTAGGGAAGTTGGAAACAGCCTGTGGCACGGATTGAAACTATCATCAGAGCTGACTGCTGAGTGAAGGATGAACATTCCTCTGTTAGCTAACCTTGATTAGCCATGGCGGCCATCTTGAACGGATTTAAAACTTAACCTGAGTCAGATTACTTCTTTCCTGTCCCACCAAACCCGGCCGGTCGAGACAGATGTCTGCCTGTCCTGAGCCTGGTTCTGGTTCTGATTCACCAATGTGCTGCTCAGGATGAGAGACTGTGAAGAAGTGATTCAACACAATCTGCTTTCTTCTTTAGACTGTTTCTGTGTACAGAGACCTGAGACAACATTTGTTGTGAGTTGGTGCTGTATGTTTCCATCCATCCTTTCTACACCTGCTTCTTCCTTCCAGGATCACAGGTGCTCATGTCCAGCAGTCACTGTGAGGGACAGAGTCCCCCGCAGGTCCACCACAGGTCCACACAACCGTTCACTCTCACAGAGGGACACTGTAGTGTTACACTTTAACCTGACATTCAAATTTTGGGGCTGTTGGACGAAACCGGAGAAAACCCACACGTGCACGGAGAGAACACACAAACTCTGCCGCCCAGGCCAGGATTCGATCCGGCAACCTTCTTGCTGAGAGGCAACAGCTCTACCAACTGAGCCGCCTTGGTGCTAATTTAGTTTATTTATATATTGGCGGTGTACAAATAAACTAAATTAAATTCATTTGAGGTTTTATTCCAATCTGTCCAGGGCTTTAGGAGATATTTTGCTAATAATTTGGGTAAAGCTTTCTTTTACAGTACTCTTATTACCTTGTAATTACAAGGTAATAAAAAATGTAATTAAATGTAATTACTACCTTATTACCATGTAATTAAAAGGTAATAAAAATGTAATTAAATATAATTACTACCTTATTACCATGTAATTACAAGGTAATAAAAATGTAATTAAATGTAATTACTACCTTATTGCCATGTAATTACAAGGTAATAAAAATGTAATTAAATATAATTACTACCTTATTACCATGTAATTACAAGGTAATAAAAATGTAATTAAATGTAATTACTACCTTATTGCCATGTAATTACAAGGTAATAAAAATGTAATTAAATTTAATTACTACCTTATTACCATGTAATTACATGGTAATTAGGGTACAGTTTTACTATGTAATTAATTGTCCTTCAGTAATGTAGCACTTACCTGGTAATGTATTACAATTCACTATGTAACACCTAAATAAGTAGTAGGTAATTTGGACAGTTTTAAAGTTATATTTTATTGCAATTAACCACTAACCCCAAAATTAAGTTGCATTCTTTTGGTTATACATATAGTGTTAAGTTACTATTGAATAGTAATTTGATTGAAGTTACCCAATAAAGGTAGTTTTACGAATAGTAGTTTTTATTTTGTACCCCAATTACCATGTAATTACATGGTAATAAGGCAGTAATTACATTTAATTACATTTTATTACCTTGTAATTACATGGTAATAAGGTAGTAATTACATTTAATTACATTTTTATTACCTTTAGACTGTTTCTGTGACAGAGACCTGAGACAACATTTGTTGTGAGTTGGTGCTGTATATTTCAATTACCACGTAATTACATGGTAATAAGGTAGTAATTACATTTAATTACCATTTTTATTGCATTGTAATTACATGGTAATAAGGGTACAGTGAAAGAAAGCATTACCATAATTTGTAGCTAAGGAACTTGAATCCTTTTTAGGCAGTTATTTAATCACCTTAATAAGCTTTGAAGTATTGAACTGAAACACTTCTTGATTTATTTTTACCACAAATTTTGTAATTTTCATCTACAAAATGTCAGATATTTTTTCTTTTCTTTTTAAAACAGGTGAATATTAAAAGAAATCAGGCCCGACTCTGCATAATTGTTTTACAGCAGGTCCTTGTTCTGCAGAACATGACAACACATACACACTCACACACATACACACAACAAATTGTAAAACAGAAAAACGCAGACACCTAACTGAGATTACAAAAGAAGGTGTCCGACAGATAACGAGCATGAGTCTTATAAAGTGCCAGTGCTGAGATGGACTTTAACTGCTGTGAGTGTCATCCCATGCTTTAGTATATAAACATTTCCAAGGTTGGGTTTGATTATCAGAGCAGAGAGAGCAACATAACTGACACCATGTCAAATCTGAAAATACTTTTACAATTTAGCACAAAACAGAATTCTGAAAAGTTAAAGCATTTGAAAAAAAAGGTCGGTGCACTGGTGAGTCCATCAGGTTTGTCATGTAGTGTGTAGCTCCTGTTGTAGAGCTGTGTGTTCATCAGTAAGAGACCACACAGGTCAACAGGGAAACAGTACGGCATGGTGAAAGTATGACATGAAGATACGTGTTCAAACAGAAGATGTCAAACGTTTTTTGTTTCACTTTAGTAGATAAAGTCAACCAAGATAATTCCCAGGTTTTTATGTGATAATAGAAAGAGGTTTATTTTAAAAAGTAATAGGATTTGAATTAATGAACTATCGCCTTGCTGAGGAAAAATACAGTTTTTTTAATTAATCATCAAAAGATTATCTTGTAGGAATGAAGATCTGCATGTAGCTGATTGCCGATGGAATCAATTTTACTGTTTAACTGTTTAAACGTGACGCTCCAACACAAAGTCACAATTTAGGTAAAGAAATTAGGTTTGTTTTTATGAAAATTGGAATTCAGAAAGGTTTAAAATGAAAAAAAAAATGCTGAATTTGTATATAAATCGTGTGGATTAGAAGGCAGGGTTTGGTTGGCAGCACAGTCTGAGGAGTTTCCTGTTCCAACAGAAGACAGCTGATCTGAGAGGTTTTCAGATGTTTACTGTAAGGAAGGTTTGAGGTGATGTGTTTATGCTCTTCTCAGACTTCAAGGGATCCCTGATTATTTGTAAAATTAAACTTTGATGAACATATATTTTAACTGTAAAATAAAAACTGTAAAAATGCTGTTTAGTTTTGTTAATTTTAAAAAATATATTTTAACACAGATGGAGCCATTTTATTTACACACAAAGCATTCTGGGTAAATGATGACATGGATAGGTCCTTAGTGTGAGCGAGCTATAGCCACCCTGAAGGTTAATCTTGGTCAATATCTGATGATCGACTCTTTTAAATGAAACCAGAGAGCGTTGACAGAGAGGAGAAGGTAGAAATGACTCAGCCTGGAAC